CTTTCCTCTCCTTTATTTAATCTCCCTTTCTCAATTCACATTGCTCTTCCCACCTACCCCACCTCCAATAGCATTATAAAGCATGGACTCCACTGGTAATGAAGATAGTAAATTATCAGAAAATACAAATAAAATTGTTTAAAATTTATAGGAAATTTTTAGTGCATTCATATTACTATGCAATCACCAAATCACCATCCTCATTCATCTCCAGACCTTTTCTATCTTCTCAAGCTGAAACTATGGAACCATGTAACAACAATTCTACTCCTCCCTCTCCTTGGCAACTACCATTCTTCATTCTGTTTCTATAAAGTCACATACTCTGGGCAACTCATTTAAATTATATATAATATAAATATATGTGTGTGTGTTTACTTATAATATTTAATGAAATGATAAAATAGACAAAAAGAGAAAAATTTATATACAGAATAATCCTAAGTTTCAAATAAATATTTATGTATGATAGTAAAAGAAAAATTGTATGGGAACACATCAAAATGTTAATACTGTTTTGCTTGTTTAATGAAATTATACATCATTTTTTCTTTTTTATGTTTTACTCCTTTCAATTCTCTACGGTTATTTTACTATTATCCTTATAATTAGAAAACCAAAACTTTTAAGTAAATCAATAATATATATCAATAAATATATATATATAATGACCCATATGTCAATAAACTTGTACTTTTTGTCCTTACAGTTTCCACTGAAATTTTCATGTTAGGTAGTGTCTTAATACTATATGTGTATGTGTGTGTGTGTGTGTGTGTGTGTGTGTGTGTGTGTTATACTCCTTTTGTTTCAGTTTTATTTCACTTAGCATAATGTCTTCAAATTTCATGTAGGTTGTGACAAGTGTCAAATTTTCATTTGTATTGCAGACTGACTACTTCATCATATGTATATAGCATGCTTTATACATTCATCAATCCATGAATATTTGGGTCATTTCCACTTTTTGGCTATTGTGAAAAATGGTGCTATAAAAATTGGTGGACAACAATAGTCTTTTAAACAACATTGTTAATCACCAAATATATAGTCATTGAACTTAGGAATGCTAATACAAATTGCTGACACTTAAATTATGAATTATCTTTACCCAACCATTATAAAGAAGCATTTTGTCCTATGTTTCTCAAAAATTCAAAGGCATCTTTATGCATTCAATCATAAATTTCCTTGAAAATAGGCTGGGAAAATGTTCAGTAAGTGAACAAAGGAGTTTTAGACTGGAAACATG